TTCCAAGAACTACTGGAGGTTCTCCCGTTAATTCTGCTTCTATTAACTCAAACTTAATAACGCCAATTAGTACTTCTGCTAATGGATTATCAAATAATAATAATCCTTTAAATGGTGTTTCAATATACATGAATCATCAATATGTATCTGAACAACCTACCACTTCTACTAATTCTTCGATATCTCCCGTACATGGTTCTTCTTCAAAAATAATATCTACATCTCCTTCATCCAATATGGATTCTTCAAATATAACTACTACTCGTGCTCCTCCGTCTTCATCTACTACTACCGAAAGTAAACCGAAGAAAGCCCATTCTAGCGGAGAACAGCAATGTTTTAACTGTGGTGTAACCTCAACGCCTCTTTGGAGACGCTCTGCTAATGATGAACTTTTATGTAATGCATGTGGTTTATAGTAAGTATTTATGTTTATTTTTGTCACTTAACATATAAAGGGAGAGAAAAAAAAAAATATTAACTCACATAGTAATGCATGGATATCAGATCAGAGTTGACCTTGATTTCTCTAATTCATAAATAGCCTTAAACTTCACAAAATGGATAGACCAAAAACTATGAAACCCCATATAGTCCGCAAAGATGCCCGCGACGATGAAGCTGCTCAACCCGTATGTTCAAATTGTAATACGATGACTACACCTTTGTGGAGAAGAGATGAAGAAGGCCAAACGCTTTGTAATGCTTGTGGTTTATAGTAAGTATTCATTTATAATATTTCATAATATAATAAATGTTTAATGGTAATTATTAATATATCATTGAAATTTTATTCTTAATATTAGCTTCAAATTACATCATGAAAGACGTCCGTTATCAATGAAAACGGACGTTATAAAAAAACGTCAGCGTTATGAAAATGGTCAAACTCCGAATCGTCGTAAAAAACAAAGATCTCCTGAACCAGAACAAGATGTTCCACAGCAGCAACAACCTCCTCCTCCCCCTCCTCCTTCGCAACAGCAAATTGTTCCTGTATATGGTGGTCACATGGGGGTTACGCCATCGTCTACTATGCCTATGCAATCACCTTTAAATGTATCAAGATGACATTTATCACCCTTACCATTTATGTTATGCTAAACTTCCAGTAAGGCCGTGTAAGAGTGGAGATGTGTTGCGTTTTGTAGAAAAACATTATTCTACGAAATTGAGGTCGGGTCCGGGTTAATTTTCATATGTTAAAGCCGGATTTACTCCGTCTTAGCGTTGTCAATATATATTGCTTAATCCCTCTGAAAGCAGAATCCAAAGAAATAAGCAAATAAGTTACATTGTGACTCCTGATACAGAAAAACTAAATTATGTATTTTTTTTTTTTTTTTTTTTTTGCCATATCAATAAAATATTTTTTTGTGTGGTGTGTGATGTATTTTGGACAAAGCAAAAAAATTTTCTATACATAACTGTATTTATTTTTGCATGTAATTATTGCGTTGCATAGATATCATTCTCATGATTGAGAATATTTCGAGACTAGCTTTTGAATAAAATTGAAACTTCTATTAAAGATGATGTTTTAATCTTTTAACGGGCTGTGGGAATAATCATTGATGTCTTTTTATTTTATATAAAAGTTGATCAAAATGACAAATATTTAGTAAAGTTGTTAATAGAAATAGCTTACTCCGGAGCATTTTGGAAACCGAACCCAATCCAAGTTGGAGTGGGTTTAAAATTTGGTGCAACTCTGGGTAAAATGTTAAAGCCTAATTTAATGGTGTGGTTAAAGTTTGAGTCAACCCAATTCAACTTATTAACAGCAGGCTTCAAGAACTAACTTGCTAAGTCAAGAAATATCAGCCTTATAAATAGAGATTGTACCCGGGTAGGCATTTTTATTATATGGCTATAATACACAGCCTCTCATAATTATAGTTCTACTTTATTTAAAATTTTTAAATCACAATATTTCACGTTTTGCAAAATATATGACCACAGAGTTTAGACAGTGTAAAGCGAAAGTAACTCTTTTACAAATACTAAATTTTTATTTATTATTTTTTTAAAAAAATATAAATTTTCACAACTTTGTAAACAATAATTTTGACACAAGGCCAAAAAAAAAAAAATTACAATTTTTTTTGGTTTATTTAAGTACATATATTAAATTTTTTTTATTTTAAGTTTTTGTATACTTTTTCTTTAGCTTTAAATACATTTTTAATTTTATGTTAATTAGCTTAATATACTGTAGCAATTATTATAATTATTATTAATCTTATTTATATTTTCTGAATTTGTCTTACAAATTTATTTTACAAATTTATTTTACTACTAATATTACCAAAAAGTGTTATAAACAACAATTACTTTTTGAAGATTTTGTAAAAATGACAAGATAGTGAGTAGAAAGATATTACTTGTATAATATATATATGGGCTAGGTACTGGAAAAAGGAACGAAAATGACAATTTTTTCAAACTAAATTTTTAACATAAATTAATTTAGAATAAGATTAGAATCTTTTTTCACTTAAGACACAAAAGTAGTTGTGTTAATAAAATTTTGCAGTATAGCTCTTTAAAGTTTGTATTTTCTTATAATCTATTATAAGATTTATAACACAAAAATTGATTTTCTGAAGATCTTTTGTTTTGTCAATTTCGTTCCTTTTTCCAGCACCTAGCCCATATATTCTTTTATAAAATATAATATAAACTCTTTTTAGAGCAAAAAGTAGTGCAGGTATTTTTCTTTTTTAGTGAGTAATAAACTTTGGCAAATAGCATATAAGAACTATTTTAAATAACAAGTACTATTTCTATAGTAAGTAATAAATTCTGAGACTATAATAGCAGATACAGTAGTATATAAAAACTATTTTTAAATAATAGTTGCTATCTTATAATTTTCTTATCTTATTTCAACTTGTTTTTACTAAAAGCTAGTATATTTTTTAAGAGAATTTTTAGTACAAGTAATTGTCAAAAAGAAATTATTATTTTTTTATATAATTTTTTAGATATTTTTAGAGTTAGAGTGCAGTTTTAAAAAATTTATATATACAGTATATATAATATAATCACCCTGGTGATGATTACTGCTAGTTATGGTTAGTAATATTTATATTTTTAATATCTATAAATAACAACTATAAATAATTATATACAGTATATATATTAATTTTTTAGATTATTTATATATTTTTTAATTTATATTAGGGATAGCAAAGAATATGTTTTTTTTAAAAAGACTAAAGGTAACCCTTCCCAATGATCACTTGGACCAAAATTTCCTACGAAAGAAAAGTCAAGTTTGGATACTGGAGAAGTAGAAAAGACCTATAGTAGGTGAACAATGGTGTAGTTTTTATAAAGGTCAACTTTTTATTTACTTGTGGGGACTCCTTTATATATTCAACATGCAAGCCAAAAGTGTCTTTATACAAGATAACTGGCTAAGGAAGTGTGCCCTTGTATATGAAATTTTGGTGGAGATTATAGTGTTTCTCCATCGACAAAGCAACCTGTTGTGAAATAATTGGGAAACAGTAAAGAACTTACTATTCTCAAGCCACACTCTTTTATTCGAACAAGTGACTCCTCTCTTACTCACTTCTACTCTCTCACCAGTTTTCCAAAATTTTTTCAAAAAAAGTAGGGATTTGGCTTACCCCTTCCAAAAGATCAGTATTGTTTACATTCCAAATTTGGATAGTTCATTAGACTGCAACCACGTGTTTTATAAATACGGCGCCTCTATACAAGATCGGGCCCTGGATAAGAAACCTCTAATAAGGAAGAAGGTACTCCTAATGGCGGCAGCAGGTGGCTTGAGATATGGGTCTACAGATAGCAGCAGCATCTGGCTTGAGATACAGATTAGGACAAGCTAGAGCGAAACTATCCAGAGTATGTCGAATGGTTGGAAAGAAAAACCCAAAGTTAAGGTGAAGCTTTACAATAGAGATATACAAATGTTGCATATAGTATATAATTTTTTTAGCCTTGTACAGGTTATAACAGTGCACTCCTTTTGTTTTCTTTTTCTAAATGTATGTCATGATACCTTGTCCTTTTTGTGCTTTTTCTATTTTCGTCCCTTTACGATGGAATCAGATTTAGGACATACTGTTTTTAATATGTTTTTTTTTTTTCTTTTCTTTTTTTTTTGTCTCTTTTTTTCCTAAATTTTGTTTTTCTTTGGTAAATTTGACATATGGTATTCCCTTATAGAAAAGTAAGAGATAAACTATTCTGCCCGGATCTAGGCAGGAAAAGTTTTCAAGAAGGGATGAGTAGTCATGACGGGCTAGTAGATCCTGGCTGGTGAATTGTGGACTCTAAATCTGAGGCAGATTTAAATAAGCAAGGAGGTTGCTTCTGCTCTGGCATGTCACACATAGGTCTAATTGAAAACCAGATGAATCGCACTTTAGTACAAAGCAGTATAGCTGTAATGGTAAATTCAAATGTAAAAGTTTGTAATATCTACATTTAAGTAATAAAGTTGTGGTATGACTGCTTGTTTGCAAATATATATATATATATATATTATTTATTAAAGTAGATATTATTTTTAAGTATATTAATAAAGTTTTTCTTTATATTATTGTTTTTCAACTCTTTTCAATAATTATTTGAACCAAAATTTCTAATTGAAAAAAAACAGAACTTTTGTTGAAGAGTTGTAGTTTAATATAGCAGTTTGCCTAAAGGTTAATGGTTTGCTATTTTGGAACTTCTTTATAAGATATATGTTCGACATGCAAGCCAAGAGCATTAGTATACAAGATAACTAGCAAGAGATGTATACTTATAAATAAAAATCTTGATAGAAAAACAACAGTTTTCTTCGTTAACAAAGTTATTTAGGTTGTTACTTCAAAAAAAGAATACAGGAGAAACAACAAGAGTCTGCTTTTCTTCAAGCTATATTCCTTTACTTGGCCAAGTAGTCTCTTTTTTATTTTTACTTGTTTTTCTGTTGGTCTTCCAAAATTTTTCATAAAAAGTAGAGGTTTGGCTTACTCTCTTCAAAAGACTGGTATTGTTTACTTTTCAAATTTAAACATGTTTGTTTATGGACAAATATAGTGCTACTTTACAGAACTTGGTCTAAGAACTCTAATTATAGTAGTAGGTGGTTTGTGATATAGGTCCTTGGACAACAATAGCACCTGGCTTAGAATACAAATTAGAACAGACAACAGAGCTATCTGAAGTTGGTAAGAAGGTTAGAAAGTAAATTTAATATTAAAATAAAGTTTTATAGAAGAGATATACAAATATTATATTTGGTATATAATTTTTATTAGCTATGCATAGATTATAATAGTGCCTTCAGAATTTTAGATTTCTTTTCATGTTTTTTCTTTTTCACAATTAGTGTTTCTTTTTTCTTTTCTGTTTTTTTTTTTTCTAGTCGTTTTCATAAATCTTTATTAAAATTTTTTTCTTTTGTCTCATACTCTTGAGAAGAAAGAATTAGAAGAAAAAAAAGAGATTCTGATATGGTATACAACAACCTGTCAAATAATTGAAAGGAGTATTTTTTGTTAATACAAAATCTGAAGCAAGTTTTAAATCCCAAGTAAGACTAATACTTGTTATAGCAAGTTATATTAGGCAGTACTTAGTATGCTAAGAGAGTTTTTATTAGTCTAAGAACTTTAATTAGATGAAAAACATTGTATTTCAATATATAGTTGCTCAAATAGTAGTTTATATAAATAAAAGCAAGATTGCTTAATATAAAAAAAAAAGTTTTTTTACAGTATAGTTTGATTATTTTTTGACTATTTCACAATATTTTGAAAATTCATATATTTTTAATTTCTTAAATTGTTTTTTATATTCAATATTATTATAGCTAAATTCAAAAAATTGTAGAAACTTGTAGTACTTTATAATATGAAGAATTTATAGTATTCAAAGCTTGCACTAATTAGATTTTTAATTTTACTATATAGAATTTCTTCAACAACTTTTGAAAAAAGCTAATTATTAATTTTTTCATAAAATGTTATAAATTTTTATTATTAATTTATTTATTGTATATTATTTTTATAGATATAATTTGATTTTGTTATTATTTATTGTGACAGATTAAAATAAAATCAGATTAAAATGAAATTTTAATATTTTTTAGTAATGATTTAAAAAATTTTGAGAGACATTTTTTAGAGTTAGGGTTTAGTGTTAGGTTTATTAAAAAAAAAAGTATAAATAGGTTTTATAAGCTTTAAAGAGGAGTGAAAGAGGTCCTCCATTTTATTTTAATCTTATTTTATTTTAATCTGCGATATTTATTAAAGTATATATA